ATATATATATATATATTTTAAGGATTACTATATAAATGTTAAACTAATAACCAAAATTATATTAAATAGTAAACTTTTAAAACTAAATTGAGTAAATAGAATATTTTAAAACTATATTTGATGTAAACATGTAAATGTTTTATTTACGACAGGTAGAAATATTAAATAAATGATGAATGGTAACATAAGTGGAGGGAATGAGTCCCTTCCGCTTCAAAAGCTAAAGCCAAGTTAGGAAGAAAGGTCCGCAAAGCCATTCTGCTCGAAGACATTCACAGATACATGTGCTTATTATTCTTCAAAATGAATTGTAAGCCTTGGAAAATAATGAACTCGAAAAGACCAACAAAAGAAAATTAAAGTAAAAACTACAACGTAGTTGATAGACGGTTAAAAAGTGTCATCACTTTAGTAATGACTGGCTATGTTTAAGCAGCTTTCTCACCCTCTGCTGGGGCAGGAGGATCCTCTGGTATTGATGAGTCTGACGTAGCTTTAGCAGTGTCATCTTTAGTAGGTGAAGCCGAATTATCTCTGGACGCGGCTCCGGCTGTAGTTGATTCAGGAGCTTTCCCGTTCTTGGCATCCTTCCCTTCCTTTGAGTCCTTGCCATCTTTGGCAGGTGCAGGCGGGGGAGGAATCATGTGCGGTGGAGGATTCTGCTTCAGCTTCAAGAGAACTTGGCGCATTCTTGAGAGATCAGTGGGCTTCCCGGGTTTAGGGCCTTGAATGACGACAACCGAAGGCTTCTTCTCAGCATCCTTCTTCCCTCTCTTCTCAATAACTGGGACTTCGCGGGGAATGATCTCTGCTATTGCTTTCCAATAATGTTTGTCAGCTTCTTTGTGGAACTTCTCTTGGTTTGCCAAGTACAGCTGCAAAATAGCTCATTCATTAGGACGAAACATGGCAGACGTGTAATTTGCACTATAGAAAAATAAAATAAAATAAAAAGAGGGTTTCGGGGAATCGAGAAATGACATTAGAAAATCTACCTTCTCTCTTTCCC